TAACATCAAACTAAATGGTGAGAAACTCAACGCAATTCCTCTAAAACCTGGAACAAGACAAGGCTGTCCACTCTCTCCATATCTCTTCAATATTGTACTTGAAGTTCTAGCTAGAGCAATAAGACAACAAAAGGAGATCAAGGGGATACAAATAGGAAAAGAAGTCAAACTTTCACTATTTGTGGATGATGTGATAGTTTACATAAGTGACCTGAAAAACTCCACAAGGGAACTCCTAGGGCTGATAAACACCTTCAGCAAAGTGGCAGGATACAAAGTTAACTCAAAAAAATAAGTAGCCCTATTATATACAGCTGATAATGTGGCTGATAAAGAAATCAGAGCAAGCCGGGCGGTGGTGGCGCACGCCTTTAATCCCAGCACTCGGGAGGCAGAGGCAGGCGGATCTTTGTGAGTTCGAGGCCGAGCTGGACCGACAGCCTCCAAAACAATACAGAGAAACCCTGTCTCAGTAAAACCAAAAAAAAAAAAAAAAAAGAAAAGAAATCAGAGCAACATCACCCATTACAATAGCCATAAACAGCATCAAATATCTGGGGATAATGTTAACCAAAGAAGTGAAATACCTATATATCAAGAACCTTGAGTTTCTAAAGAAAAAAATCAAAGAGGATACCAGAAAATAGAAAGGTCTCCCATGCTTTTGGATAGATAGTATCAACATAATAAAAATGGCAATCTTGCCAAAAGCAACCTACAGATTCAATGCAATCTCTATCAAAATACCAGCACAATTCTTCACAAACCTTGAAAGAACAATAACCAACTTTGTATGGAAAAACAAATGACCCAGAATAGCCAAAACAACCCTATACAATAAAGGAACTTCAGGAGGCATCACCATCCCTGACTTCAAGCTCTATTACAGAGCTATAGTCCTGAAAACAGCTTGGAATTGCCACAAAAATAGACAAGTAGACCAATGGAATTGAATTAAAAACACTGATTTTAACCCACACACCTATGACACTTGATTTTTGACAAAGAAGCTAAAATTATATAATGGAAAAAAGTAAGCATCTTCAACATATGGTGCTGGCATAACTGGATATTGGCATGCAGAAGACTGCAGATAGATCCATGTCTATTGCCATGCACAAAACTTAATTCCAAATGGATCAAAGACCTCAACATAAATCTAGCCACACTGAGCCGGGAAGTGGTGGCACACACCTTTAATCCCAGCACTTGGGAGGCAGAGGCAGGCATATATCTGTGAGTTCGAGACCAGCCTGGTCTACTGAGCGAGTTCCAGGACAGGCTCCAAAACAATACAGAGAAACCCTGTCACGAAAAAAAAAATATATATATATATATAGCCACACTGAAACTCTTAGGGAGGTGCCCTTGAACGAAGTGGAAACAACACCAGTAGCACAGACACTGAGATCGACAATTAACAAATGGGACCTCCTGAAACTGAGAAGCTTCTGTAAGGCAAAGGACACAGTTAACAAGACAAAAAGGCAGTCCACAGAATGGGAAAAGATATTCACTAACCCCATACCTGACAGAGGGCTGATCTCCAAAATTTACAAAGAACTCAAGAAGCAAGTCTCCAAAACACCAAAGGATCCAATTAAACAGTTGGGTACAGAACTAAATAGATAATTCTCAATAGCAGAGTCTAAAATGGCTGAGAGGCTTTTGAGAAAGTGATTAACATCCTTTAGCCATCAGGGAAATGAAAATCAAAACAAATCTGAAATACCATCTCACCCCTATCAGAATGGCTAAAATCAAAAACACAAATGAGAGTTTATGCTGGAGAGGATGTGGAGAGAGGGGAACACTCCTCCACTGCTGGTGAGAGTGCCAACTTGTACAGCAACTTTGGAAATCAGTATGGAGATTCCTCAAGAAAATGGGAATCAATCTACCATAAGACCCAACAATTCCACTCTTAGGCATATATCCAAAAGATGCAAATTCATATAACAAGAACATCTGTTCCACTATGTTCATAGCAGCATTATTTGTAATAGCCAGAACATGGAAACAACCTAGATGCCCCTCAACTGAAGAATGGATAGAGAAAATGTGTTACATTTACACAATGGAGTACTACTCAGTGGAAAAAAACAATGAAATCTTGAAATTTGTAGGCAAATGGATGGCACTAGAAGAAACCATCCTGAGTGAGGTAACCCAGTCACAAAAAGACAAACATGGCATTTACTCACTCATATATGGATTTTAAACATGGATCAGGGGAGTGCCAGCCTGCAATTCCACTGATAGAGGGTCTGGGAAACAGGAAAGATCCTAAGAGAGATATGCATGGTACCCCAGAGAAGAGGAATGAGGCAAGATCTCCTGAACAGATTGGGAGCACGGTGGGGGTTGGGGAGTAGTGGGAGCTGGGAAAAAGAGAGGGGAGAAGAGGAAGAGAGAGTAGGTCATGGGGGAGCAGGAAGGTTGAGTTGGAGGAAGATTAGGGGGAGAACAGGATGAGAAATACCATAATAGAGGAGCCATAGATTGAAGAGAGTAAGCAAGTTAAGTAAAACCTCTAACCATCTACAAGGATGTCACCAACTGGCAAGCTAAGCAATAGTAGAGAAACTACCTTAAATGCCCATTTCTGATAATGAACTTGACAACTACCTCATATGCCATCCTAGAACCTTCATCCAGGGACTGATGGAAGCAAAGGCAAACACCCACAGCTAAACACTGAACTGAACTCCTGGAACACAATGACAGAGAGAGAGGAGTGATGAGCAAATGGGCAAAGAATGGGCTGGTGAAACCAGCAGAGACAGCTGACCTGAACAAGGGGGAACTCTTGGACCCCAGACCGACAGCTGAGAGGCCAGCATGGGACTGATCCAAACCCCCTGAGTGTGAGAATCAGTAAGGAGGCCTGGGAAACCTATGGGGCCCTGGGAAGTAGGTCAGTATTTATTCCTGGTATACAGATTGACTTCCTGTGTCCATATCACAAAGAAGGATGCTCTCTCAGGCTAGACTCTTGGGGGAGTGCCTGGACCCTGCCCTGAGAAAAATGACAGACTCTAGATATCCCCTACGTGGAAGGAAGTGGGGATAGGGTGGGAGGCTGGGGGAGATGGTGGGGGGTGCTGGAGGAGGGGAGGGAGAGGGACCAGGGATTGACATATGAAGCAAGCTCTTTTCTAAAAAAAATGCAATAAAAAATAAAAAGAAAATGGGAAGAAGAAGAGGAGGAGGAGGAGGAGAAGGAAGAGGAGGAAGAGGAGGAGGAGGAAGAAGAAGAAGAAGAAGAAGAAGAAGAAGAAGAAGAAGAAGAAGAAGAAGAAGAAGAAGAAGAAGAAGAAGAGAAGAAAACAATTTGCTCCACTGTCTTTCCTGCCTCCATCGCATATTCATTTGTCATAGTGGTACTTTTTTGTCAGGACAGTCAGCCACAAATAACAACACTGAGACTTACTGTAAATTATGAAAGTTTGGCCTTTAGCTTATGCTTGTCCCCAACCAGCTCTTATAACATAAATGAACACATCATGCTAATCTAAATTATGTCTTCCATCTTGTACCTTCTGTTTCCTCTCCATGTCTCCTGGCTTGTCATGTGTGCCTAGATTCCTCCTCCTCTTTCTCCCTTGGTCGTTCAGCTCTTTATCAAGTCAGCCACAACAATATATTTTCACACAGTATAAAAATATCCCACAACTTTTCCCCGTTTTTGTCTAAATAAAAAGGAAAGGTTTTAACTCTAACATGGTATAACTATATACAATAAGAATAATTATCAGATAAAAATTACATTCATAATGTCCAATCCATTTGTATTTAGTGTATTAGAAGAAAACATTCCATTATCTATCTTATCATGATAAATTTAAAGTTTTATACCTAAACTATTGTCTATTACAACTTGTATTACCACCCTAAAACTATCTTTTTAGACCTAAAAACATCTTCTTAGGTAAACAGCTTAAGCATTTATGCGTCTCAACCCTATAAACTTTATATCTATTATGCACATTTTTCTGAACTCAAATACATGGAAAGTTGTATGCTGTCTATTGTTTAATGCCCATCAGAGTCCAAGAAGGATATAGTATTATCTGAGTAAACAGGAAGTGCAGAGCAAGCAACTTCTAAAACTATAGAAATGACAGTCAGTCACCCAAGGCTCCTCTGTAACATTGAAACATTCATCTTCAGCCTACAGGCCTGGACTATCTGACTGACTTCTCTGTGAAGCAGGGATTTTGAACTATCCTATCTTGTGTTGGCAAATTTTGGCAGTCACTATCTTTTGTGTCCTGCCTGCCCAGTTTGTAAGCATACTGTCAGCAGTCAAGGCAAAGGCAGTTTCTTGCCCAAATACCTAGCTTTGCCACATTGAAAGCAAACTCCACATGGAGGTTCTTTGATGTCCATCATCCTCTTTGAAGAAAATTAATGCTGCTAGAAGCAGACGTGTCTCACTGTCATGAAAAGCCTTATGCTATTAAAACATTTAAATGCCATCTTCTGTAGGTCTTTGAAACCATCTATCTAATTAAAATATATCTCTGTTAGACCTTCAAAACATACCTAACATTACTAGGAGTTTGATTGATACAAATGAATAACTACTAACCTGTGTTTTTTTTACTATCCTCAATAGATTTCAAGGACTAAAACTTTACATTACATTTTAAATGATCTGCACGATTACAGTACCTTAAACAAGAGTAGAAACATATATACAGTAGAACAAAAATAACCTTAAATTTGTATCAGTATACAAAAATCTATACCAATGTATAGATTTGTAAATATTTGACACTTCTTGTTGCTAAAAGTAGACTCAACAATCCACCCTTTTATCCCATCATTTCTATACTATATCCCCCCCTTTTTTCCCTTCAGAAAGAGATCCCGTGATATAATTTCCTTTGTTCAGCTTTTTTTCTGACTATGACCAATAGCAACTTATAACCAACCCTCATAAACCATAATAAACATCCATAACCTATTGAATAAACAGAAACCATCCACTCTACCTCTGGAGAATGTGGGTGTTGTGTTCTCTACACTTCTTCCTGCTGTCTTGGGGTGACAGAATCTTTGGGGAACCCTGAGAAAATTGAGATGATGGTCAAGTCCTGGAAAAGCTAGCTGTATCACGTGTTGTAGCTGTATAATGGGAAAGTGCAGGGCTTATCTCAAGTCCTGATGAGTATAGTCTGTGAGGCTGGACCACCTCAGCTAACTACTTTGAAGATGTTCTGAATGCAGAATTTTGAGAAAACTTCAACAGAGGCATTCTTAGAAGATACTTTGTTGGTATCTGGTCCTTTTTTTCTGAAAACACATAAACTTCTAAAGGTACTATAAATATCTGCATTAATGCACTGTGGAATGTGTGATTTTCACAAGTCAGCTAAAAATGATTTTTTGTTTTTATGATATTTGAGCAGGTAAAAAGGCATCTGTCGTGTCCATAAGCCCATTTGGACTTTATAACAAAACTGCTATCATATGAAAGGATGGCATGTAGTAATACATCATGAGTATTCTGTGGCCACAGCAAGATTTATCATGTCTCATCTAGTCTCAGAGCTGTTTTCATAGTACAGAAATCGGTATATACATCACCTGTCTTGTAATCTTTCTTGGTTTCTTTATGTCTGTAGCCAAGATTTTCAGGAGGTCTCCCCCAATAAAATTAGATCTTTATTAATCTTGAAGAGAACCATAACTTTTTGTTTCCTGTGGAAACAAAGGCATAAACTCTCCCCCAATGCAACACATTTTCTGAGTTCCATTTTGAAGCCAAGATATCTCTAAAGTATATATGCTGGTTTAATTCAACTGACCAGTCCATAATCCAGTTTCTCTTAACAGCTATTGTTTTTTGTACATTAGTATTTAAAATATGCAAACTCAATAAAGTACAATGCAGAGTCCAGACACCCTGTGTATTTCCTACCTTTATGTGGCTTATTTTTTAATATTACTTTTCTCTCTTTAAAGACTTTATTATTTTTAAACTATTTACTTTTTTCTATGACTGTCTATACCCATTTTTTACTGTATCTGTTTAAAGGGTTTTTTGGGGGGTTGTTTTTGTTTTGGTTTTTTTTTTCTGTCTGAAGGACTTTACTGTATGCCTGCAGTCTTCTCTGGTCAAGTGAGTCAAGCCTTAAACCCCTATGGCACTGATTGCTTTAAGCCCACAGGCAATAGTCAGGAACTGAGTCTCTACACTCCACAGCCTGCCTGTGAGACTACAGGACTAGGAAGGCATGTTTGGCTCTGTGTTTGTGTGTTTGAAACTTTTTTTAAAGGTTTCTCGGGTCTTGTATGAAAATGCATGCCCTCATCTTGGATACCATATGTGGCAGTTCTTTTTTGTTGGGATTGCCAGCCCACAAACAGAGACATTAAAATGTATTCATTATGAAAGTTTCGCCTTTAGCTTAGGCTTGTCCCCAACTAGCTCTTTTTTTTTTTTTTGGTTTGGTTTTACGAGACAGGGTTTCTCTGTGTTGTTTTGGAGGCTGTCGGTCCAGCCCGGCCTCGAACTCACAGAGATCCGCCTGCCTCTGCCTCCCGAGTGCTGGGATTAAAGGCATGCGCCACCACCGCCCAGCATCAACTAGCTCTTATAACTTAAATTAACCCATTCATGTTAATCTATGTTCTGTCATGTGGCATTACCTGTCTTCCATCTGACGTCTCTTGTTTCTTTTCCACATCTCCTGGCTTCTCCTGCATGGCTAGATTCCTCTTCCTCTTCCTCTTCCTCTTCTCTCTTTCCCTTTCTCTCTCTTTGTCTGGAAGTCCCACTTATACCTCCTACCTAGCTATTGGCAATTCGGCTCTGTATTAAACCATTCACAACAATGCCTCTTCACAGTTTACAAAAATCCCACAATGGGGAGGAGGGAGGGAGAGGGCAGCTCTGCTGACGAAGCAGTTGGTGAGGGACAGAACCAGCTCTCCAGTACCCAAGCCACTGGGGCCAGTTCTCGAATGGCCCCCAGTAGTAGCACTGGCCATGGACATCCTCACAGACGCACAGACCCACTCATTGTCCTCTGCTACAGCTTGTGCCTGGACATCATCATGGCTTCAGGTGACAGCACAGGCCACTCAGGTTAGTATGACCCAGGCAGCAGCATGACCCCCAGGCATTAACATGGTCTGGGGGGGGGGCAGACCATGGAATCTGTATGGCCTTTGGTGGTAACATGAGCCATGGACATCTACACAGACTGGAGCTGCTGAGGCAGGGCCACGGATTTAGACATGGCCCACAGCTGCAGCATAGGCCCAGATACCACACGGCCCCAGGTTGCAGAATAAGCCACCCATATCAGCCTGTTCCTCACCCACATTGTGTCTTCAGTTCAGCTTCTCTCCACAGCGTTTGAACTGCTGCACTTCTTTTCTCTCACTTCGTGACCACATACCTGTCCATCATAGTGGTGTCTGTCCATCCAGGGCACTCGGCACCAGGTGATGAGACATATTTGTAAAGAGTCAACAATCCTGGGGAGTGCCAGCCTACAATCCCATGGCCAGAGAGTCTGGGAAACAGAAACTTCATTTAGTGGCTGATCGAAGAAGAGGCAGACTCCCTCGGTTAAGTACTGAGCTGAACTCAAGAAAGCCAGTAACAGAGAGGGAGGACTGATGATCAAAGGAATTAAGACTGGGCTGGTTTAACCCCCAGAAACAGCTGACCTGACAAAGGTTAACTCTTGAATCTCGGGCTGATGCCTGGGAATCCAGCATGGGACTGATCAAGACCCCCTGAATGTGGGTGTCAGTGAGGAGGCCTAGGTAATCTATTGGGCCTTGGGTAGTAGATCAGTACCCATCCCGAGTATACACATGGACTTTGGACTCCCATCCAACAATGTGAGGTGTACTCTCACCCTGAACTCTTGGGGAAGGGTCTAGGCCCTGCCCTATATGAAATGACAGACTATGGACACCCCCATGGAGGGCCTCACCCTCCCTGGGGAAATGAGAGGATAATGGGGGGTTTGAGGGGAGGGCACGGGAGGAGGGGAGGGAAAAGGGGAGGGACCTGGAACTGACTTGTGAAGCATCCCTGTTTCTAATCTAAATTTAAACTGAAAAATAAATTTAAAAAAAGAAAAAAAGAGTCAACAATTCTTTAAGAGGTTCTTCGTCTGATTTCTGTTGCTGTAGCAGAATGCCACTGACTAGATAAATGATAGCAGCTTCTGGGATTCATAGTATGGAGTAGAGTCCAGGGCTGGCTAATGACTGCTAATATCACTAGCACAATGGGCTAGCATCTTCTGGGGACTGCTTCAGGTGATTTGTAGGCACTAACTCATTTCCTGTTATAACCATTCTATGATATGGGTGCTGCTATCCCCTTCTTGTAACTAAGAGAACTGAACAGTGTCACATGTCTGTTGAGGGAAGAGTTATGATTGGAACCTGTTGCGTTTGGATCCAGAATCCAATCACTTACAGAGTGTGCCATGACACTCCTGAAAACAGCACAGAGATGAATTGACAGGCATTCGCCTTCTCCCTCAGTCTCTCAGGGTAAGAACTGCAACATCCTTTTTATTCTGTCTTGAGCCCACCAGTGCATCCCTTCATTCTCTGTAGTCCCTGGTTACCACATTGAGATACCAACAAACTGAGAAATCTAAAACAACTAGAGCTGGTAGATCAAACAGAAATTTTTTTTATTACTGAGAAGTTTTCAACAGATTTACACTGCATTCAGTAGGTTTAGTCCTTGAAGTAAATTGTTTGCTGGTAGTTTCTTAGAACCACATCTGTTGAACTCATTATTGCCTTATTGTTATTGCATCATTGTGAAGGTCTGTGAAAACACTGAAGGAGACCCCAGACTCAAATAGCATATAAAGCGAAGAACGTTTATTAATATTCCACCACATGCAGGGTTGTTCAAGTTGGTGATGACCCAGAGAGGAGCATGCAGGCTCCTTTTAGGCACAGCTAAGGGGAGTTTCAGGGACAGTTGTGTCATCTCATGTATAATTGGTTGAGCAAGCAGCAGTTACACTAGAATACTTTTAGTTGGCTGAGATTTAGTCTTATCATTTTTGGACATACTTGTACAAGCCTGGGTCAGTCTGGACATGACTCAGAAGGGGCTGCTGGGTTTGTACTTGAGGCAGGGTGGGGCTGGCTCAGGCCTCATCCCAGAATGCCAGGGCATTGTAGATAAATGACCCTTGTGGGAATGCCCTTCTCAGAGAAGAGAAACCTGAACTCAGTTGTGAGAGTGGGAGAGTATAACACCTTCATTATGTCTAGATCTTAGATGTACCTCAAAGGCCATGTGGTGAGTGCTTAGTCCCCTGCCTGTAGAGGACTGTTACAGTGTCAGTGGTTGTTGGGAGAAGGAGACACATTTGCTCAAGTCCAACACCTTAGCCACCCGGCCATCCCAGTTCTGAGACACAGTTTCTGTAGCAGTGGAGCCACTGGTAAGTTCTCCATGCTCCTGTAAGTAACCATAAAGTGGGTCAAAAAAAAAGAAGAAAAGGAGGAAGAGGAGGTGGGACAAAACAGTTGCCAATGGGAGGGGCACAATTAGGAAGAGGAAGGTAATCACATGAAGTGGAGAGTAACAATACCAAATTACATTGCGTTCATTATGAAAAAGAAAAGAAAAGAAGTGAGACCCAGTAGAAGACAGTTAGGTCACTGAGAATGTGCCCTCGAGGAGGAGATTGGGATCCTGGTCCCTTCTGTCTTAACTTCCCAGTCACCATAAAGTGAGCAAGTTGGTACCCTCTCTCCACACTCACTGTTTCTGCCTGACCACATGTCTCAAAGCGATGTCCGATGGATTACAGACTGAAGCATCTGAATACATAAATCAAAATAAACCCTCCTCCTATAAGTTGGTTCTCTTGGGTGTTTTGTCACAGTGACGAAAGTTGGCTAGTACAGTAGTCCACATAAGCTGGGTCCTTCCATTCCAGCATCCTGACATAGATGAAACTGCACCTAAGGCTCATGGAAGTCACCACACTTTCCAGAGAGAGAGACATCACTCCTCTGAGACCTACCATTTGCGCTGTTCCTTCTATCTTGAGGTCCTGCTTCCTCACAAATAGTCTGTTTCCATATGTGTGAACTGCTTGCCCACAGAACTCTACCCTAGCCTCCCAGTGTAACAGATTTTACAAGATAGCTGTAAGTTCAGACCAGAGTAGCATCAGTGCAAACTGCTTTAAAATAATGAACAAAATAACTTTTACTTTCCCATTTACAAGTTCTATCGCCAAGACTCCCTCATATTATCTTCCCAGGAGTCCAGGTCATATCTCTCCGACTCTGTTCTCCCTCTTCCTTTTTGCCCTCCTGTACTTCTGTCTAGAGTGGACATCTCACATTGTGGTGCACTCAGGATTGCCTGGAAGGGTTGGTTGTTCAGATGTCACTGGATTTCATCACTGGTTTAGAAGGACTGAAGCAGGCTATGAAAACTGTTTCGTTTTCTACTTTGTTTTCTCTTCTTGTGCTTTTGAGATAGGGGCTTGAGTAGTTCTTGCTGGCCTCAAACTTAGTGTGTAGTCAAGGCTGACTTCGAGCTCTGAACTCATCTTCCTCCTACGGCAAGTGCTTGCTTACAGACACACACTACCCTACCTAGCTAATATTTACTTTCCTGTTAAGTGCCCAGGTGACACACACTCTTGTCTTGAGAAATCATATTAAATAATATGATTTCTTTGGACCTAGGAATAGACTCAGTGGGACAGGTTTGGCTAGAATTCACTAGGCTCTGGATTTGAACCCTAGCCTTGTACACAAAATTCAGACTCTCCTTCTAGGTTCCTGCTGCTTGCTGGTGGAATGGCCAACCAAGTTCATGAAACCAAGGAAAGCTGTCTAGTCCTGGCTGAACACTGCTCAGGACACAAAGGTGTCGTGATGGAGACCATTGATGATGACACCTCAGACCACCCATACAGCCAGTGGCTGGAACTGACTGCTGTACAATAAAAGTGACAACTGCCACGGGCAAGAAGAAAATTGCCAAGAGATCAAAGATCAAATCCTAGCCGGGCATTGATGGCACACGCCTTTAATACCAGCACTCAGGAGGCAGAGGCAGGCGGATCGCTGTGAGTTCAAAGCCAGCCTGGCTACAGAGCGAGTTCCAGGACAGCCTCCAAAACAATACAGAGAAACCCTGTCTCAAAAAGAAAAAAAAAAGATCAAATCCTATGTGAACGTGTGTGATTACCTTTACCTCATGCCTACAAGGTACTCTGTGGCTAGCTCCTTGCACAAAACTGTTGTCAACAAGAACATCGTCAGAGATCTAGCTCTGAAAGACAAGGTCAGGTAGGAAGCTAATGTCAAGTTTGAGGAGCTATGCAAGGCAGGGAAGAACAAGTGTTTTTCAGAAGCATCATTGCAGGAATAGTTTTGTTTGCATTAGTAATGATGATTATGATGGTGGTAACGACATTGTCTTTCACACATCAGAAGAATGAACTGAGCATAGAAACAGGCCAGCCTTGGCTACAATACAAGTCCCTGTAAAACAAAACAAAACGATAACAATAATGCAAAACTCACACACTTTAAAACAACGAATTTTTACAAGCCCTGAAGAGAGCATCTCCCCTTCTCTTTAATTTTGGTATCAACACAGGAGAGGTCACACTACACTACAAGCACTTAGCAGCTTTTGCAGTTTGCCCTATGCTGTGATGCCAGTGTTCCCACCAAGCCCCTTGTTGGAATTTAACTGCTAGTGCAGCAATAGTAAGAGATGTGACCTTTAAGAGGCAATAAGGTCTGTTCTCATGAACTGACTGTGCAGGACCAGATCGGTTCTGTGGGAGTTGGTAACTGATAAAAAAAGGATGGGTTTGGCACACTTCTCAGTATATTGCCCAGATGATGGGGCTGTGCTCTGTAATTTTCCAATTCCCAGACCTCAGAAGAAAAAGAACATAATGTGTCAATGTTTGGGGGGAAATATAGAAAGAGAAGAACACAGCCAAGGTAGGAGAAACAAACTGTAAGGGATATGACAGGTGCTGTTGTGATGTTTTTATCTTTTGCCTTTTTATGTCTTGCTACTTATGAATGTCTGCCCTTAGATTGTCTTGTAGCTAGCCAGTTTTTCTTAAATCAACTCATCTTTTCCCTCTGGGCTTTTATGTTTCTTACTTCTGTATATCTTACTTTCCTTCTTACTCCAAGGCTGTCTGGCTAGCTAACTGAATGGGTGGCCGGCCCTTGATATCTTCCTCTCTTTGTTCTGTTGCTGCTCTTCTCGTCCTCATTTCTCCTATTTATTTTCTCTGCCAGTCAGCCCCACCTATCCTTGCTCCTACCTCACTATTGGCCATTCAGCTCTTTATTAGACCACCAGGTGTTTTAGACAGGCAAAGAATCACAGCTTCGCAAGTTAAACAAATGCAGCATAAACAAAAGTCACATACCTTAAAATAATATTCTACCACAGTGTTCTGGAAGTCATAAGAAAGCAGAAACCAAGCCAAATTCTCAAGACCACATTAGGAGGTCAGAGACACAAGCA